TAGTAAACAATTTATAATATAATGTATGATTATTAAAATATTCTGGTAGTCTCTAAGGTTAGTTTTTAACTTTTCATAAATAGAAAAATATTTTATATACCTATATATATATATATAATTGAAGTATATATTACTACTTAAAAGTAATACAATTTATTTTTGTTAATTATTTTTAACAAAAATATTAAATTATTTATATTAATAATTATTCACACAAAAATAATAGTATATTAAGTTTAACTATTATGCCTAATCTTCACATTCGTGTGACAATATCTTGAATTATTAACACTAAAATCCCAAATACTGTGAAATCATTTTTTAGGTATAAGATAATAAAGTTAAATTTGTAGATAAATAATAAATAGTATAAATAAAAAATTAAAAAAAAAAAAGGGTGTCTTGTTTATTTGAATTTTTCAATTTATAACATAACTTGTAATAAATTTGTCCCACCAAAATTAAGGAATTATATTTTTTAAAAAAAAAATATTATTATGTTTTCGTCTTCAGGTTTTGCTATCAGATGTATGATATGAATAATTTTGTCTCACTTAATTTATTTTTTAAAGATTTAAAAATATTTAAATAAATATTAAAACTTAATTGAAATTTTTTTACATGTTAGTCCAAACAAAATATAATTTTAAGATAATATTTAAAACATAATATACTCAATAATAAATACAAAATAACATTACGATTAATAAAAAGTTAATTAATTTCATATTTATTACTAATACTAAGCAACAGTCAAAAAAAATTATATGTTCTACAATGAGATCTGATAAGTAAGATTTTTCAAATAAGTATTTACATATGTCCAAGAGACAGCATAAACAACAAGTATATTACTAAATTTACAATTTTTCTCTACTTATTTTAAATTTATAATTGTCTATAAATTATTAATTATAAGATGTAGTGGGACTCATTGGCAAAGGATACACCCCCTAAATCTTATCTGTAAATGAGAGTGGCATTCCTGTAAATATGGAGGTACTCTCAGGCTTTTAACCAATTGTCAATGAAACTCGCACACAAAAACTGAATGCGGAGATAGAGAGGAGGTGAAGCTCCTCTCTTTTTGGTTGCTTTTCCCCCTTACAATCAACCCAGAAATTTTCAAGAGAAAGATTGAAGTAACAAAAAAGCGGAATGGGTTTTGTGACGGGAAGCTGTTGGCTTTCCCATTCTCCCCTTTATCATTCTCATATAGTCTCTTCTTCTTCTTCTTCTTCTTCTTCTTCTTCTTCTTCTTCTTCTTCACAGTCTGGTTTCATTTGTGCAAGAAGTACAGCGGTTCGGAAGAGAAGCAGAGCACCAATGGCTACCCTTCGTCAAGAAGACTCCATTTTCTCGAAGAGAAGAGCGGTTCTGTTTGTGGGTATTTCGGTTCTTCCTTTGTTCCAGATGAGAGCCAGAGCTCTTGAAGATTTGCCTACAGGCGAGTTCATTGTTGTCTTCATTTCAAGATTTGTTGATTGGTTTCCATGAACTGGTAGATTACTTTCTTCTCCATTATGTTTTTTTCTTCAGAATTCTATTCCTCATTTCATTCAGCGAAATGGGTGTTCAAATTTTGTCTTGTACTGACATATGGGCTTGAACCCCAAAATGAAAAAGGCAACAAAAGCAATGAGTTCTTAGCCTTGTTCTCTTTTTTGGTCACTACAATGTAGGTGTTCTTCTGCTATTATTTGTATCTTTATTTCCTTAGCTTTTTCTTTTTTAATTAAAATTATTTTTTTCTGGGTTCCTCTAACTTTGTTGATTGCAATTTGTTTTTGTTATTTATTCTTTAATTATCTCTTGGGTAGGATATATGTGTTATCAGGAAAAGAAGATAACTTTCCACATAAATATTTTCTCGTTTTCCTTTTACTGATTGATCTATATTAATTTCTTTGTCCTCAACAGCGAAAAGAGAAGGGGTTTCTATATGGGGTAGTCCCTTTAACGTAATTTTTAATTGGGATCTCAAATGTTATTCCTAGGCACTGTTATTGAGATTGTTGAACTTGTTAGTATCAGACGGTTTGTTTTTGTGGTTTCTGGATCTTGCTGTTGTTTTCATCACTTTCTCATGCTATAGGTTTATGTTAAAGTTTCTGGGTTATAAAGGTCTTATTCATTTGTGCATTTCATTTCAGAGAAAGGAGATTCACCTCGAAACCCTTTTCTGTCTCTCCTGAATGTACTGGGGATATTTGGTACTGGTTCACTCGGTGCTCTCTATGTATTGGCCCAGAAGGAAAAGAAGGCTACTGATGAAATCATAGAATCTGTAAGCCACTATTTTATTGAAGCATTTTGTGAAGTTGGCATATCTGGATGGCTTTGAATTTTTGTTGAACATTGAAGGAGAAACTCTAATACAAAAGATTTCTCTGTGGAGGAATTTCCTGTAAAGATTTTAGGCACTGTTTAGTTATAGAAGACTGCTTGTCTTGATTCTCAAACTTCTTATGTGTTTGTACACACAACGTATCTAGTTGTTGAATGTAAAACATGATTTGAAGAGTGATAATGAAATATCATATGATTTGGAAAACACGGTTTTGTTATCTTCAAACTCATACTATATTTTAACAGTCCTTTTCCAAATAATGGTTTCATTTTTTACAACTACACACATTTTTGGGTAAGAATTTAGATAGTGACAACTTAAGAGATTTTATAACCAAACAAGGCTATACCGTCTCTGCATCATGGTGGATGTTCAAGTGCTTTTGCAATAATGTCAGATTCTCAGACCATGTTTCTAATTGAGAATAAATTTTATGGAGTTTTCCCTTGCTTGTTTTCTATATGATTCTCATCGTCCAGAACGAATTAATGGGAACATGGCTCTTTTATAATCCAAGCATGCATTGTTTGGGATGCACAGATGAAGATTAAGTTGAAAGAGAAAGAGGCTGCCTTTGTTTCAATGGAGAAGAATTTCAATTCAAGGCTCCTGAATGAACAGGAAGAACGAACCAAGCAACTCAAAAAGGCAAAAGAAGAGCATCTATCTCTGATGAACCAGTTAAGTTCAGCTAACAGTACAATAACAGGTCTAGGGCAGGAGCTAAAAAATGAAAAAAGAGCATGTGAGGAGCTTAAAGTCCAACTTGAAAGTCTTCAAAGCCAACTCTTAAAAGCTGGGGAAGATAGAAAGGTACTTGAAGAAACGCTAAAGGAAAAGGTTGATTCAATTGAAGTCTTGCAAGAGAGGATTAATCTGCTCAGTTTAGAGCTGAAGGAGAAGGAAGATAATGTCCGAAATCTGAGTTCTTCTCTCGCTGAGAAGGATTTGGAGTTGAAGAACTTGACCTCTGGCTACAATCAAACTAAGGATGAACTGGGAAAAGTAAAGTTGGAACTTGTTGAAGTAAAAAACGAAAACCTAAAACTTCAACATGAACTAGAATCAAAGAACTCCATGGTTGATGAATTAAATGCAAGCATAGCTTCTATGAAGATTGAGGCAGATGGCTACAAAAAGAAATTGGATGATACTCTGAAGGAATACAATCATCTGAAGTTATCTTCTGAAAAACAGGCAACTTTGCACGCTAATGTTTTGGGGGAAAGAGACAGTGAAATTTGCCAGCTGAAGGAAAAAGTCAACCATGTGGCGAAGGAACTGGATGAAAGTCATATAACAATTGCTGATTTGACCCAAGAAAGGGAAAAATTGGACGGAATGCTTCATACAGAACTGACCAATGTGAAAATTTTAAAACAGGAAATCCAGGTTACCCAGGAAGCTCTTGGGAAATCAAAAAATGAGGCTTCAGACCTAGCAAAGCAACTAAACCAATCAAGAAATTTGTGTGTGGAGCTCGAGTCCAAGATTTCTCAGATCCAGGCTGAGTTTGTCGAAGCTAAGGAACTATTGCGAAGGAGCCTTGATGAGGCAAAACAAAATAATGACATGCTAGCCAGTGAGCTCACAACAGCAAATGAGCTTCTGAAAAAAACTAAAGATGAGCTTCAATTTTCAACTCATGAGCTGGCTGTGGTGATGGAAAATCATAATAGCCTTCAACAGGAATTGATGGATGTACACAAGAAAGTAGAAACCACAGTTAATGATTTAAAAGAAGAGAGGCACATTGTTTCTGCCTTGAGCAAAGAACTGCAAGCTTTGGAAAAGCAGATGTTGAAGGACAAGGAAGCACGAAAATCGCTTGAAACTGACTTGGAAGAGGCTACAAAATCCCTTGACGAGATGAACAGAAATGCATTCACTCTTTCTAGAGAACTAGAGAATGCAAACTCTCGTATCTCTAGACTTGAAGATGAAAAAGAAGTGCTTTACAAGTCCCTTACAGAGCAAAAGAGCACGTCCAAAGAGGCCAAGGAGAACCTGGAAGATGCCCATAACCTTGTCATGAGGCTTGGCAAGGAAAGGGAGAGTTTTGAGAAGAGAGCAATGAAACTCGAGGAGGAATTGGCATCTGCAAAAGGCGAGATCTTACGAATAAGGAGTCAAGTAAATTCATCAAAAGTTGATGTGAATGACCAGGAAACATCAAAAGCCGAGACTAAAGGCAATCAAACTGTTGCTGCTAAGAGAAGTGGTAGGAGAAGGAAGGCTAGTTCTAGTTCGGAGTGAGATAATAAACTCGTATCTTGTGTTCATTTTCCTTTCCTCATTTTTTGAGCTTTCTTTACTGTCCTTGGAAGCCTTCTTAGCTAACAAATTTTCACAACACTATTGTATGATTGTGTAAATGCCAATTATTTAACTTAATCAATCGAATTATACATTTCAGCTAAAAAAAAAAAGAGTGACCAAAGGATAATCTTTCAGCAAGTTGTGTTTCCATGAGGAAGAAACTCTATGGTTGTATAAATGCCAATTATTGCACTTACTGGAACTAAAAATTTCAGCCCAAAGAAAAAATTGCATAGTGATATGCTTGGGACAATTTACATTAAAGAAAGAAGTTGAGCAAAATAACCACAAGGGGAACCAAACCACCTTTTGATTCCATTTGAACTCAGAAAGTGTTAATCTAAAACTCAGAAAGTGCTAATCTACTACACACTATGCAATTATACTATAAATTCTGTAAGAAAAAAATTATTATTTTTTTAATTAATTTAAGTTAGACTGAGATTTTTAATTAATTAAAAGAATCTAACGATCATAAAATATTATCCTAATTCTATAAGAAGTTAATATTTAATTAAAATAAAAAATAAATTTATAGATGAAATCTACACAAATATTAAATTTATTCCAAACATAATCCAACGGAATTTACAGCATTGTTATAATTTGACCTAAAAATCTCATATGAATCTTTAGTAATTTTTTTAAATTAATATATTTTAAATATTTGGTGCTAATTATTATCTTGCAAAAAAAAAGCACAATGCCTTTTTTACTTTTCTGTTTCAATAATTATTTTAGGACCAAAATAAAATTGATGGAAAAATAAATTGTTTGGAGGATTTGACTTTTGACTATGTTAACGAATGACCCCTTGCCACGTTGCTGCAATTACATCCGCTTTCAGTATGAGTTGGATACACGTAAGAAAAGCTCTCTGTCTTTTACTCTTAAACCAGGAATATACGGTCCGGCGTGTACTGTAGCTGAACAAATACGTATTGCTTTCTTAATCAAATGAGTGAGTGAGTGAGTGAGAGAGAGAGAGAGAGAGAGAGAGAGAGAGGGAAAGAAGGAAAGAGAGAGGGGAAGAAGAGTGTATCAGACGCCTGTATCTGATTTTGATGCATGCAGTGGAAGCAAAATGAAAGAAACAGTAAGATAAAGCAGATGATATAAGAAGTTTTCTGCATTTGGGTTCTCTTTTTATGTCGGACCTGCCAAGTTTTCAGAGGAGAAAACCAGGTTTCTTTTCTCAAAATTTCTTTTCTTGTATGCCATCGCTATCGCTGATCCATTTGTTGCATTCTTGAATGTATTGGATTGCAAAATCATTCTTTGGGTTTTTTCCCCTCTTCTTTCTGGGAAAATATAATGTTTTATGTGCTTCTTTTTAGATGATTGTGTTTGATCTTACTTCTAATTTGGATTTTTTGTGTTGAATAAATGTGTAGGTTTTTTGTTGCTGTTAGAAGCTAATTGAACTTGTCTTTACTGAAATCTAATTTTGGCAATTTTTTTCTTCAATCCTTGATTGACGATACCGTTTATTAGTCTGTCATAAATGAATCCGGTTAGATTTTGTAGTTTGCCATTATGATTGAACAAAGTTCCTCCTCTTGGTTCCTTTGTTAGTCACCCTGCTACTGGGAGTACTAATTCTGAAATTTTTTAAGTCTAGATTTTATTGAAAAAAAATTTCTTCCTTCTCCTGCAATACGACTTACTTTTACTTTTTTTTAGCACTTCGGAAGGTAATCCAACATCTTCCTTTTTTTTTCTGATAAAGAAAATTGGATGTAGTACTTATCTGTCATGTAGCTCCGAACCTTCCAAAACCTCTTTATTCACGTGAGCTTCCATGGGGCGGAAGGATGTTTTATAATTAAGGGCAATGATTCCTTGTTGCTTTCTTTCCACTCTGGTGGTCCATCTTGTTTCGTATCAATCTATACAAAATAGACTTCCATTTCCCTCGTCTTGCATACTTCAAGATTGGCATTGGGTATGCTAAATCACTCGTTGAATATTCTTCATAATGACCTTATATTGCACCTTGTTCTTTGGTCATTCTTTTCCGTCTTACTCATAACAATTGTCCCTTAGATTTTGGTTTCAGTCGGTCAAACTATGATGCCTTATCTGGGATCATACCTTCAGCAGTTTTCACCATTAGGAGGTCTCAGAGATGCATTCTTTAACTGATCAGTAAATTAACATCAAGTTTTGGTTTTACTGGACCTAACATTTAGATATCATCAACATATTCTGGTTTGCTTTGAGATGAAGGCATGATAGACTTTCCTTGTTTTAGTTATTGACTTTTATTGGTTATTTGGATTTAGTGCCAGTTATTGCTGGTTTTCTTGCTGGAAGACTGATGCTTTTCAGATAATGCTAAGGAGACAGAGATCTGCTGGAAAGGTGTGTGGATGTTAACTTGATGGCTGATTCTGCTTCGGGGTCCAATAATAAGTATGAAAAACTTGGTCTTAAACATATAACTAGCTCACTTTTTGGCATTCCTGGTTTTCTTGTGGAATCCAAAGCATCTTCAGAATCTGATTCAGCTAGGAGCCCCACTTCTCCTCTGGATTTCAGAGTTTTCACAAATCTAAGCAACCCATTTAGTACTAGATCTTCAACAGTATCATCCCAAAATGGTCGTCAAAAGAAGTGGGATTGTAGCAAGGTGGGGCTTTGCATTGTGAATTTACTTGTTGATGAAACCGGAACGAATGAAAATGATGCTGATTTACTTAAGAGAAAAAATATTATATTTGCACCCCAGGTGAAGACCAAGAATTCTAACTACTCAAGGTTTTATGAAGACTCGCTTGATTCTTCTGTGAACTCCAATTATTTGAGAAGGAATTATATGATTTCTTCACCTTCCAAGTCCCAGTGTCCGAGCCCCAAATTGGGTGATGTAAATCTTTCCTTTGAAAATGAGGAAATACGTAAACCTGAACCATTTGATGTGAATGCATCTAGTTTAGTGGATTCTGTCAGGCTTTCCTCTTCTCTGAACACCTCAACCAAAAGACCCCATTCAAGCTACAAAAAGTTGTGTTCAGCTAGAACTGCTATAACAAGTTCCCCTCTGGTAATTGGCGGAGGGTCACAGTTTGACAATTCTTTGGCTATTCAACCGAGTTCACTTCCAGTTGCTATTGTCTCTGGCACTGGATATGTGGGCTCTCTCTCGGCACGTGGGATAGAGCTTTCAGAGGATTATACTTGTATAATTTCTCATGGTCCGAATGCTAAAACCACTCATATTTTTGGTGACTGTATTTTGGAATGTCACACCAATGAGTTGGTCAATTTTGACAAAAAGGAAGAGCAAGAGATTGGATCACCTGAAATGGCTAAACCCCTGTGGGATTCAACCTCTTCTGCACCTGATATGCTTTTAAGGTTTTGTTATTCATGCAAGAAGAAGCTGGAAAACAGAGGAGATGTTTATACATACAGGTCTCTCCTAATTATTTTTCTCTCATCTCAAATTTCTGTTGGTTGAATCTAGTTATTATCACTAAGCCTCTTGGGCCTTTTGGGTGTATGTAGGGATGAGAAAGCTTTTTGCAGTTTTCACTGCCATGCTGATGAGATTTTTGTTGAGGAGGAACCTGAAGATAATTGCAATAATTCCTCCAAAAGCTCAACTGTATCTAGTTACCAAGAAGATCTCTTTCTAATGGCTATGCCATTTACCTCCTAAGGGGCTTCGGTAGCTTTTCTCTGGCTTCCATGTCCGAAACTGATAAACTTCTGCAAAGTTAATACCGAGATCATCTGCATGTAGTAGGTGTGCATGCGGATACGTTTGCTGCCATGGATAATTGCATCTCATTCAGTTGGTTAATTTCGTGTTGATTTTTTCACAGTATCATTGAGATGTGGGTGGCGATAGCCTAGAGTTCTTTTATATGGTCAGAACATAGATATAAAAAGTAAGTTGCTTTTGCTCTATAATTTTGATGGAATGAGTTAGAAGTGGCTGCATGCAAGCCCCGACTCATCTGTTTTACTTATCTTTTCTTGCCATTGTGTTTTGTGAAAGTTTTTTGTTCAGGCCTGTTAGACCCAAATGACTATTGAATTTTACGTGGAATCTTTAATGGTTTTCTGTTCCTTTGTATTATTTCTCATGTGGATTCCTTATCTTGCAGGTCTTGGTTTATTGATTAAATTCCTTGCTGCTTCAATAAGTAATTAGAACCTTGATTTATAGATCCAGTTCATAGTTAACTTAACGCATAGGTTACCTTCCTATTGATCATCTCAAAATAAATAAATAAAGTTCCGCTGCATTTTGTTTGGACCCTGCACATTGTTAGAGGCAAATTTGCATATTCTTAGAGAAGGATTTGTTACACTGAATGTCTCATTAGTGTTACTGGAGAAAGCGTGGTATATATTTGAGCCATAAATATCTCCCAAGTATTAAGAGGTCTCGCTTAAAAGCGATGAACTGAGCCTGTGGTTACAACATTTAACAAGTCAAAATGCAAGAATGGTTTTCTTGGATTCTCCTGTATTATCTTCCTGTTTAATTACATTATGTGGTAAAATCCTGGTTTCTAATTCAGAAGCCTTGGACATAGTTTC